ATATTTACCCAAGAGGATGTGATGATTGTAATTAGCTTGTGATTTGTCAATATCCCATAAAGAACATGACGAATATCTCCTTCCTAATTTCTCTACCTAAACAGTTTCACCGAGTCAAACTTATTTCACTGAGTCAACGCTGAGTTACCTCGTCCAACATTTGAAAACCAACCTAATACTTATATCATACTTATTAGTATTATAATGAGTAATTCTTTAATTTACAAATTTATTAAACTGCATTAAAGGAACAATGGTGTAGTTTTCAAGGGGTGCTCATCCCGGACTTATCCATAATTTAAATTCTATACATATAATATACAGGGTTAGTTTATATAATATCAAAAACAAGTTATATACTCTTTTTTTTCTTTTTATGTTATTTTTAAAGCAATGATTTATTAATTATACGTTAATTTTAATAACAAAATAATATATTCAATGTATTACATGTACATTTTTAATAAATATTTTTAATAAATATATTATACATTCGTGCAAATTTTTTAATTGAAATTATCTCTAATTTGATAACAAATAAATGCAAGTTCTCAGCGATCAGTACTTTCTATCAAATGAAAGTAGATCAATAATTGTCTGAAACAAAAAGATTCAAATAATATTCTGTGAAATCCGAAAGAAATAAATGCGTAATGACGCAGTACAGGAAAAAAAAAAATTCGTGTCTGATGACAATACAATGCTGCATGTCAAGCCCCATTGTGTAATTACAAAAAGAAGAAATACAATGCCCATGCACAGCCACACGATGATCAAATTTTCTGTTATATACTTTGATCTAAAGTGATGCACAAAAAAAAATTTTTTCTCTAATGCAGCAATGCGTGGGAAATAAACCGTAGTATTGCAGTTTATTATCGTTCAATGTAGCATCTAGGACATCTAGGATAATTTTATTTAAGTAAAACAAGAAAAGGATCGAGACTGTTACGTGTTTCTTAATTCGCATGCATAGATTCTTAATGATTTATTTTAACCTCATAAGTTTAAAAATAGCATATGCATAAAATAATAACAGTTTAATTTTTTTCAATCTTTTATTTCACACTTTTACTAACTTTCTCGAAAATTCATAAAACTTTATTAATCAATTTATTTTTTTCCGTCGTTGGTTATGCGCATAATCTCTACAGATATCTAGCATGATATTTTGCTGATATTTGCATTCGATAATAAAATGAGTAATTTCGTTAAAAAAAAAGGGTGATCATTGCATGCAGTAACGTGACACTCATATAGATACGTAATAGTAAACTTTAGATGATTTCAATTTAAATATTTTGAATAACTTGAATACTATTTGTTTATATCTCCATTAGCTTCAGAACTTGTTAAACGCACATTATTTTTTTTTGACCATTAAATTATGTTAAATTTGGGTTGGTAAAGAATGAACACATTATCACTATACATTTTATTTCTAATTGTATATACCAGATATTCTACATAGATAATAAATTCGATATAAATGATTAATACATGATACGATTAATACGTCAAACGGAAAATAAATAACATTAAATTCCAGAATTTAGTTACACATGTTCACCCTTGTAAATTGTGCTATTGTCTTACACATAATGAAAATTGCTTACGACTTTCCATTAAAGGACTAATGTCGGTTTTGTATACAATAGCAGTAAATAGGTATTTCCCTATCAGGGATTTGAATTGTTAGTACATTTTACTAAATTAAGAATGAATGAAATACATTGTATTGTCTTTTTATGTACGTACGTACTTAGGTATATTTTTTATAATTTCATAATTGTGTTATCCATTTCTTTATCTTCCAAATTTGGTTACATCTTTTTAAAACAAATCAACGCGGTATTTTACTTCAATTTACCAATAACAACAATATAGATATCACAATATGCCTAGCGAAAGAACACAAGGTATACTTTTTGTTAATAATGATCTTTCTGCTCTACTTAAAGTCTTAATTAATTTCTACTTCATAACGATAATATCCATAAATAAATTAATTATAAATATATATTTTTATATATTTATATATTTATATATATATATATGCGTGCTTTTTAAAAACATGATGAGATGCGTTTACCCGAGTTAGTTAAATGTTTTAATGAAACGTTGGTGAAATGTCTTGTTACGTAGTTTAGGAAAAAAGTGAAAGTTAATTTACGTACATACGTACAATAAAAGTTCGGAACCAATGATCACTCCAGGACCCTTTTGTTTTTTTTAATAATGAATTCTTTTTTTGTGTTGTTTTTGTGTTGTTTTTACGTACTTCTCCGTCACTTACTTTGCAATTATGCAATTACGCTGCATACATATTTTCGTTTCCAACTCCGTAAATCCGTTAATGCATTTAAAAAAATCTCTCTTTTACTACTTTGATTGCTTTGATTACTTTGATTACTTTGATGTATGTTAAGATTCAAATTCTCCGTTAGGTCTTCAAATTATCCTCCCCTTTCCATTCTAAATCTTCTAAAAAAAGTCAATTATATCCCGTTCTGTTATTTTGCTCGCGAGTAACCGCATGTTTAACATGTTTAGTTTACCAAATATTAGCTAATATGCGCTAATTAAGATTTCTAAGGTTCGTTTCTATTCTCCTAATCTTTTAAAACTATGTGTTGTCCATCGTCAACTGACACGGACGATGCATACGATGAATTACAACAATATATTTTCCCTTTTTTAATTCCATTATTTGCTATATATGTTATTTTTAGATGATTTCTTTTCTGTTACCTTGGCATGTTATCTTTGAAGTTTCGCTACAGTGCTTTATCGGATCCCTTAATTTTGTTTATTTGTTTGAGATCTACTCTTTCCAAATATTTCTTACAAATATTACTTGTAATGCTGTAAAATCATTCGTGCATTTTGACCTTAATCTTTCTATTTTGATCAATTCAAATGTAATTTGAATGTCCAATTGTTATTTGATTAATTAATTTATACTATTTTTATCTATTCTTTATCAAGCGAAACTTTACTAGATCATCTTTTGATCTTCGCGACACGTCTTAGATACGTACTAAAATAGTTAAAAAAAAATTATCGGAATTAGAATCGGAATTCTAGGATTTTCCCGGTTATATTGAATTTTACTACATTGTCAAAGTCCGAATTTTTGTGCAGAATAGTATTACTTTGGAATTTCCCTTTCACAAAATAAAAACAAGTCAAACAAAAGAATCGTCATAATGGACAATTATTTGGCCAAGAACTGCAATTTCACCTTTACTGACTTGGGTTAAGCGTGTAATTTTATTTCTTGAAGTCTTGAATAAGTGAACAAGAAGATTATATTATTTGAAGAACATGAACTCTGAGAATAATTGAACCTGAGTTAATTCATGCGCTAAAGTCCGTCTGTATCGCTGTTTAAACTGCCATTATTTGTCTTTAAAGTTTTTTTATTTTTTATAAAATTCATACTGTATCACATAGATATTTTTAGTATTAAATTGCTTTGTCACTATCGCTATAAGGAAATTTATGCTTAAAAAACCGTAATTGGTAATATGGTAATAGTGTTTGGAAATATATACGTACGTAGAAATTTTTAAATAATTTAAAAAGTAATTTATTTTTATAAATTATACGTAATTTTAGAATTTTTGATACTGTATTTAAAAATATAATTAAAAAATTTACTAACAAATACAGTATAAAAAATTTTGTTAATTAAAAAATTTTTATTATATTTTTATTTTTATTTGCCGAATACTATATTTAATTTTACCTCGAATTGCTAATTAATACTACGTAGTCATATAATAATTAATATATCCAATACTAAAATTGACGTTAATATTTTTGCTATATTTTATTACCAAATTTTAATCTTAAAAAATAAATTTAACTTTTAGCATTAGTTACTTTTACCTAAAAAATAAAAATTTTAATTATATTATAGTATAACTAATTAAAGTATTTAAAAGTATATAAAATTAAATAATAAAAGAAAATTATATTAAACTAGTTTTAAATTTTAAATAAAGTTGTAAACCAGATTTTTTTTGATTTTAATAATACAGAAAACCCTTTCTAAATGCACTCTTTATATAAAATCATTTTAAATCTACAGTATAGTCTGGTTTTAGCTTATGATAGTACTACATATATATAGTATTTTGCTTTTTATAACTACACACCTTTTTTAAATACATATTTTTACTATAGTCCCAAGAGGTGTATATTTAAAGAGGTTTTTTTGTAATAAAATTATTAAAATTAGTTAAATACATTATTTATTTAAAAACATGTGCTTAAAGATAGCAAATTATAAATTGGTTATAATAATTATAGAATAATATTTATTAAAAATAAGACTAATTTACGCCCATGGCGATATTGCCTAGTTATAATTTTTTTGAAAAATACAATTGCTATTTAGGGGTTAGGGTATGGTAAGGTTAGGATTAAAAAGTATGTATGTAGATAAAATTTATTGCTAAGCATTTTTAGTTAGTAGTATAAAGTTAGTTTCATAATAAGATTTAGAGCTATTATATAACTAGGCGATATCGCCAGGGGGACTCAAAAGTTTGTATTTTTTAACTTAAATATTATTAATATATACAAAAAAAGCTAATCAAATTATAGCTAGTGTTTCTACGTATTTTAACCATAGCTGCCGCAACAAATTTGGACCGGCAGATCCTCGGTTTTGATTGGCTAAGAGCGATATAAAAAGATTAGGTTGGAATTACTCATAATTTTACTAATGAAATCATAGCCGCCCATTAAATCAAATTTGCTCCTGGGCCAATTTTACCATAATGCGGGCTTATTTTTTAAGAATTTCTATTTTTGTAATAAAAAAAATTAAAAAGTTAATTCTGGCCGGAAATTAGTAACCAAATTTGTAATGTGGGCAGCTATGGTTAATGTTTTTACGTTTTGCTTCGGTTTAATCAGGTTTGAGTTCAAGTTCGATAATGATAATAGCTGTAAAATAAACTCGCCCCATTACTCTGGGCTTTTTTTTTCTAGGGCTCAAACCTATTTTTTCGTATTTGAGTTTGGGCCCACTCTTCCAAACCTAGTAATTAGAAGTTTTATATTTTAAGGAATTGTTATTTCCTTGATGATTTACAGCCTATTATCATAATTCCTGGAACATTTTAAAACGATCCAAATGATTTTTCAGCCGATTCGATTAAGTTTGTAATTTCAGCATGATCTGTGTAATAAAAGCTGAATGTACAGTAACTTATTTAGTATTATTAAATTTCGTCCAATATAATAACATGTTTGGCGTGTGGAAAGACTGCTCTTGTCAACCAATAAACCTTAACAAGAAATATTAAAAAAAAAGTTCTGGTATAAATTGGACTTTTATAATAAACATCGCAAATATTAAAAAAGATATTTTTATTTATACAGTATATCCAAGTTCGTCATAAGACTAATTTTACGTCTAGCCAAAGTTCCATCTCTAATTGTAACATACAAATATCAGTTATATATATTTGTTTATTGAAGTTTTAAGATATATCACTCAGGTTTAATAAACGCGATTTTTTTTAAAGCAACAGAAGTTTTCAATATATCCGTATCTTTTGAAAGTACTTATAGAAGTCTACTAAAACCCAAGTGTTTAACAATTCTTCGAACTGATAAGCTTTTTAAGTTTTTTTTTTTTTTCAATTCTGAAAATTTTTGGTTTAAATCTATTATCCGATAAATTTCCAGAATCACATTTCGGAGTTACATCAGCCACGTGTTCGGCCAAAATTACATTGTAATTTTGGCCGAAATCATATGAACACGTGGATAGCGTAACTCCGAAATGCGTTTCTGGAAACTTTGCCGGAGGTGTCACCTATATTAAATTTACAGCTGTTCTCATAAATTCTGGGACAACAGAAAAATTTTCTGATACCGGATCGATAAGTTACAGAGTCGGAATAAGTAAGTGACCATGCAATAACAAAAATTTGCGGTTGATAAAGATAAATTTGGACTTGGTTTAAAGACCAGTTTTAAAAACCAGGTTCTAAAGTCCCGGACCTAAAGACTTTCCAACCCTAAATTATACTCATGCTCTTCCAGTAAATCATCCAATTCAGATGGGTTTGAAAGCTTAATTTTACATAACCAACCTTTGTTATTGAGATAAAAAATGTCAATATGGGGGTTTCAGAGTTAACTTATTTTGAAAATAATTCGGAGTTTGAAAAATCCTATTTTTGTTTTGAAATTTCGAAATCAGAAAATGAAAAAGGAGTTTTCCGGAGATAAAATAAACAGACTTTTTTACTTATGTATATTATATCTTATTCTACGTTTATATATGACCACATGACGGGGTTTTATGACTTATAATCACTACTTTAATCAGAAACTCCGTCATGACATCCTATAAAAACGAAGAATAATACCTTATTTCACCGCTACGGGGAAATAAACCGGTAGATCTCCACCCTGCTGTGGGCCTTTCTGGCCTCCAGATGACCGGGGATGTACCTCTTATTCCCGCCGTTGCGAGTAAATGGGCTGCCGTCAATAGAAATCAAGCAGATTGACATTTAAAAAAAATTAATTTCTTAACTTTCACAATTTATATCTCGACGAATTTTGAGGCTATCTTGATGAATTAATATTCAAAAGAAAGTTTAGATCTAAAGCTTTCTTTTGAATATTGATTTATCAAAATAACCTCAAAATTCATCGAGACATAAGTTGTGAAAGTTAAGGGATTAATTTTTTTTTAAATGTCAATCTGATTGGTTTCTATTGAAGGTAGCCCAAATAGGCTTGCAAATAAAAATAAATAGGATTTATAGATTGCTGATTACAAAATCAGAAACCTGAACTCTAAGTCTGAAACCCCCTAATGATTAAATGAATAAAATCTTACAAAAATTAATTACCATCAGCCTCAGGACTTTTGTTTATTAGTCCAGGCAATTCTACTATGTTTTCATTAACTTCAACAATTTCTCCACTTACAGGAGTATAAATATCACTGGCTGCTTTAACACTCTCTACAGCTCCACAATGTTCTACAAAAAAAAAACCATAGAATACATTTTTATTTGATGAAATAGAAAGTTAAATAATTACCTGACTGTTTGATGACAGTACCAATTTCAGGTACTTTGACATAAACAATATCACCAAGTGATTTTTGAGCATGATTTGTGACGCCAATAGTTTCTAAATCATGTTTGACATTAATTCATTCATGACCTTTTGTGAACTTTTTGAGCTTTCTAGCTAATAATTAACAAATTTTCATATTTATTCATTCTCTAATAATAAGACAATAGAAAAGTTATATATATAGCTATATTCTCTAAATGATAATAAAGCTCCAAACTTAAAGAAAGAAGTGCTTCTAAATGTGTTTCTAAGAATTGTTCTTCTAAATATAGGAACTACCTTGGAGAAAATGAAGCCAAATGTTGTTGGATTAAACATAATGAAAAATACTTGAGCGTAACTTGCATAATCTAGAGTTTTATATGATTTGTTATTAATCAATAAAAATTAGCCATTAGTTTAATATTTATATATATGCTAATCAGCTAATCAAATAAATCTAAACTGCCATAACTAAATAATGAACGAATCTAAAATACAAATATATAGGATCGACTAATTAACTAAACCAGCTAAGCTAATAGTTATAGCCAATAAATGATAATTGGCTAGAATCACATTACTAGTCGTTATTATTATAAGAACTTTATTTTATAAATCTGATTTCATTATACATAGCTCTATCTATAGTACTTTCCTAATAAGAAAAAAAAAGATAATTATTATACATATAGTATACAAATAACTAATATGATGAGGTAATCAAATTAACATAGTAATGCAAGTGTGTTTAGCTATTTCTACATAGCAAATATCAATTACATAACAATAACTAAATTCAGCATTCTATGCTTTTCAAGTAAAATAAAAATTGTCAAATTTATTCATAATTTATAATAATACTGTCATCAGGAAATTTTGAATATAGATAAGTAGCGATTACTATCAAATATTTGATAATTATCAATAGTTACCAGTATAGGTGATTATTAACGATAATTATCATTATTGATTTAAATCATTAATTGTTAAATTTTGATAGTCAACTCTTATCAATTGTTTTTGATAATATATGGGCTAATTTTTGCGATTTATGTAGATCGGACCTCAAAAATAAGCTTAATTCTAGTCAAATTTGCAGATCATTTGGCCCTTGTAATGAGTTTTAAAACTCATCACCAAGGGCCAAATGATCTGCAAATTTGACCAGAATTAAGCCTATTTTTGAGGTCCGATCTACATAAATTGCAAAAATTAGCCTATATGAATCATTTATTGATAGTAATCGATTAGATAATCGATTTAAATCAATAATTGTTAGATTTCAATAGCCAACTTTAAAAATCGTTTTTAATAAATTTTTCTATTGATAGTAATCAATTAGGTATTATCTAATCGATTAATATCAATAGAAAATTTATCAAGAACAATCAATAAGAGCTAACTATCAAAATTTAACAATTTTTTTTTTTTTTTTTTATTCTTTGACAGTCTTGTCGATGCTCAAATACAAATTATATTACTATTAGACTACAAAACAAAG